TTGTTACTAATAGCTTCTTGTTACTACTAGTAAGGCACTTGTTACTAGTAGCGATGCACTTGTTCCTAGTAGCTTCTTGTTACTACTAGTAAGGCACCTTGTTACTAGTAGCGTGGCACTTGTAACCACCAGAACGACGCAGAACGACTCCCGACGCCTCACCCAGGTGGTCGTGGGCAGCGACTTGGCCTACGACGCCTTGGCCATGCCCGGCCTCGCCGCCGCGCTGGCGAAGCTCTTGGCGCCGCGGGGTGCGGTGCATCAACGGTGGGCGTTTCGTCGTGGTGTTCGTCATGGAAGAAAATGGGAAGAGCATGGAAGAGCAGTGTGTCGGACGGAAACTGAGAAGGAAAGAGAGAACAAAGTGCTCTTGGATGCTCTTGGTATGTTTGCTTTTTTGTTTGTCCAATGTAGAAGTGGCCTAGAACTGGGAAGTAATGAGAACCTGAGAAGGTATGCACTCCTTTTGATGTGCAGTAGTTTTCAGCACAGGTGGATGGTGTCTCTCCCTTGTTCAACATCTTGGTGGATTTGCTAACCTTTCTTTGCCGAAGTCTTGGACTCCCCCGAATCTCAGTTGTTGGTATGAAAGCAGTTTGGAATCAGGTAAGACGCAAACCTTTGAATCTCCTGCGTTCAACATAGCTGACCTGTTCCTTTTTTAAGACTAGTGTACCTTCCTTTTCAAGAATTCAGCAGATTCACTATATTGAACTCACAAGACTACTGACGAATGCAAAACGCTCCGACCTCCTGGCACTTGCAGAGGCACTGCCCAGCACGCCTTCTTGACTTGCGTGAAGCGGCAAGAAGCCACCATTGAGACTTGCTTGGAAGCTAAAGGATGTAGAAAGATGGAAAAACTGCACCTGCAAAGCAAGTCTATAAATTGCCTTTTTTGGGTGTTTACCTCGTTTCAAAACTAGGGAGTATGGCTTTGCCGAATTGAATAGGAATCAATGCCTGTGAGCGTGGGTCATTTTGTGGGGTCACAGGCTGCATGAAGGTCTTTTGGGAGACCTCATGGGCGGTTTCACATCGCCAGCCGCCAGTGACTCGGGGGAAGAACGCGCTGAACAGCGGCGCAACACTTCGACACCGGCGAAGAACAGCGGCGCTGGGTCGGCGCTGCCGTTCTCCACTCACCAGGTGGTCCCCCTTCGTTGACACCGACGAAGGGGACCGCTCTCTCCACCGAGGAAGCGCTGAAGGCCGCGGTGACCTCGGAAGGTCTGTGCGGAGCTCAGCACGCCGGCGGTGTTTACACCGCGGCCGGTGGTGTTTACGGAAGCACGACAGCACGACCCTTCAAATCGACCCCCAAAATATCACACGCAGCACACGGTTGTGGCCGCATGGAAAGGAAAGAGACAGATGTGAAGCACTCCAGCACCATACAACCTGACAGATTGAGTCCTGTTGAAGCTCTGAAAGCCAAACAATGGTCCAAGAAGGTGTTGTCACATAGTGTTCTTTATTTGCACGACGAAACACCTTGGCTAGAGTGCACTTCCTTGTACGATTATCTCTGTAAGACTCTTGATAAGCGCCCTGCAGCTCTTCACAAACCAGTGCTGGCAACATTTAACCTATTCCCCACTTCCTCCCTTCACCGCCCTCCCACATTCAGCTCTCCAGTTATCCGCCCTTGATCCGTTCCACCCGTCCACCGGTCTCCTCGTAGGTCCGCCCTTCACGTCAGGTCGTGGCATCTCCCGGAGATCTCCTCGGAGGCGCAGCACCTGGCGGAGCACTGGGCGCTGCAGGGCTGCGACGCGAGTGCCGAGGTGATCTTCCTGCAGGTCACAGGAGCGACGCCAGGTCTGTGGTTCGTTCGGCACTTGCCTGATGTGTGTGGATGGAAGAAGGAAGGGGGTGAACATGACTTGGAATCAAAGGGCTTGGCTGGCCTTCTAAGTATTTTTATGCGGTTTCCTTGTTTCTCAGACTTCAAGGGCATCGCTAGCTCAGCTCAGCTCCAGGAGACCCATCAACCTGAGACGCATCCTGCACGGTCGACATGCTTTGGGTGGAGAAGGTGACACCAGAAACTGCCAGATGAGTTGGTAAGTGGCTGAAGACGGCTGAAGACGGCTGAAGTCGCCAAGCAACAGGAAGAGTGTGGAAGAGACAAAGTCTTCTCAAAGAAAGCAAGTGCATCGCTACGAACGTAACAAGTGCATTACTACTGTAGTATAGTTGACATTACAATATGTTAATATAGCTATAGTAGTATAGCTTCTTCTCAAAAGAAACTCCTCGTTGAGCCACTTGGTGGACGACCGATCTTGGCCGCCAGGGGCTCGGTGGCACTTCCTCCGCTTGGCAGCGGAGGATTGGGGGCATGCCTTCGACGTTGAAAGATGTCTGGAAGAACGTCACTTCAAACAAAAACACGAACCAGAAACAAGTTTACAAGGAGAAAATCCTACAACATCCAGGAACATCCAACGCTACTTAAATTCTTGCCCTCCCATGGATTCGCTATGCAAATCACAAAGTTGGTACATCTATTGGGAAGTGTGCTTCATTTTTTAGTCTCGAGCGTTTTTCGTGAAAGCGAGCACTTTTCACTTGTTGGCCGCTCCATCTTGAGCCATTTGGCTTTATTTCACTCCCGGTGGGGATGTGGGGGTGAAGTGCCCCTAGGGTGTGCACTATACATATCATACACACATGTGATGACATACTCCAGCTCAAAGGCCATTGGTGCCTTGGCTGTGGAGGTACGTTGTGAATGGAGCTGGTGTGATCCAGGTGGCCTACATTAAGGTGGGCTTCGAACCTCAAGAGTTGTCAATATAGACTGGGTGTGGCCTCACTTTACTGACCTTGACTGAAGGCATTTGGCCAAAAGTGGGGTGTGATAGGACCTCCTTTCCTTTGCCATGGCAATTTCCCCGGTTGTGGCGATGTGGGCTGAAAGCGAAACCTTGATGGGAATGGCTGCTCATGGAAGGCTTGTGGTCACAGCCAGGGATGGCATATGCCGGGACGACTTGGTGCCGAATGAAGATGTCATTACCCCGGTTTTGAAGCACTGTGGACTTCGGACAACGATCCACCAAATTTGGGAGCATGTTGAGCTGTTTTTTGGGTATGCCAGACCCAAAGGCAAAAAAGCCATTCCCCGCACCTTTCATGCATTTGATATACATTTTGTGTGGCTTATGTCTTTAGACCTTGACTGATGTCACAAATACAGGACCCATGTGTTTCATGACTTCACCAAGGCAACGTCGCCAAGTTTGAAGCATGGAAGGTGAGACGCCTTGTCACCGTGTTCAACCGTATGGCCAAACGTGGACACTATCCCCGCGAAGAAGCCATTCGCCGGATTTACCAAGAGGCTGACATTCCTCTACCAGCAAACCCTCGTAGCTTGTCTATGTCCATCAACCCTGGAACTTTCGAAGAAAAATCATGTTAGTAGATCCAATCTAACCCTCTTGGCCCTTTGAATCTGAGGTCGGTCGCAAGATGACCTTTCAGCTGAAGACTCTGCAGAGGGGGAGGAGGAAAGTGAAGAGGTGTCTGATTTTCAGTGGCACTTAGAGTGACAACAAAACCAAATCTGTTGCCTTTCAAAAAGTGCTAGATCTGCTAGCTTAGTTCACCCGGCCCAAGGACACTGAAGTGGAGGTTGATGATGATGAAGAGGGTGGGGACATGTCCAATTGAATTTTGATATTTATGCATTGGGATGGTTGCATGGGACTTCACCCTGATTCAAACCGAGTGGCAGGCGCTGTGGAGAGTGGTGCGATGGCTTCCAATCCAATTGCTGATGGCCTTGGCAGCAAAGCCGAGTCTGAGATCTCAAAAGCTTCCAAGGTCACACCTCCACCTAAAGGACTGGATGTGGTTAACAATGTCATGAGGTTGAACCAAAAAAACTGAAAGTTCTCTTGTGCAACTGGTGCCCCCACTTTTCGTTATCCTTGGTGCCCCCAGGACAGCCATCTGAATTGAGAAGCACTGAGAAGGTAGAGCACCATACCTTTGAACAATTTCCTGATGGCACTGTCAAATGCAAGAAGTGCCAACTATATTGTCCGTCAGAACTTTGTCCAACAATGGACTGTCTATGTTCTCGGCCATGCGCCGGTGCTACTTCAAAGGAAGAGGCTTCTCAGAGAATGCAGGTTCTTTACTCAGACAACTGGCCTCAAGATTTGAGAGTTGTCATGAAGAACTTGAAAGAGTTCCAGGAGTGGCAAGTCGTCTCCCACTGTGGTAGGAGCTTTCGTTTTGGTGCTTCGGGTGAGCTCTCTGCCATCCCTGAACCATTTGAGTTCCCGCTGATTCTTCAGCCTCTTTCGGAACAAGAGCTTATGAAAGATCTTGAAATGTTTAAACTGGAAGAGGCTTTGCTAGAAGAGCAAATGTTGCTTTTGGAGCTGGAAGCACAGCAGAGTGCTGTCGATGCAGTGGTGCCTTCAAGCTCCAAAAACACCTCTTTGAGCAACTTGGTTGGACATTTACTTAAGTGTGCACTCATAACATCTCATAACCATACTTGATCTCTGCTGCCACCCATTTCTACATAACGTGCTCTAAAAGTCTTGTACCCAGGCGTGGGCAACATGGACCACTTGGACACCTTGCCCTACCAAGCGACACTGGCCATGGAAGAGCTGGAAATCCCACCCCAGGAGTTTATTTAGCTAGCTAGCAAACCCTTTTTCCCTCAAGATTGCGTTGGAGGTTCTACAGGGGTCTGGGGTGTCCATTAAATATGATTCGCTGCAGGAGCCACCTTCACAGGAAAAGCCAAAGACTTTTGCTGAGATGTGCCAGCCCGCGCTCTCCTCTGAGACTCTGGCTCTGCTTCCTGAGCCAGTGCCACTGAAGCAGGTGCTGCCTCAGCCACATGAGCCCGAACATGTCCCTATGCAGGTACAAAACCTGTCTGTGGTGCCAGTGGTACCTGTTGAGGATGCTCCCAAACATCCCGGAGACCTTTTGCATTCAGCTTCGCCTAGGGGAGAAGACACACCGGCAAAGAAAGCTGAAGAGGAAGTAGAAAAGAAAGCTGAAGAGGAAGTAG